CGACGATCGCGCCGTGACCGCGAGTCATACCGACGATCGCGCCGTGACCGCGAGTCATGACGACGATCATGCCGTGACCGCGAGTCATGACGACGATCGCGCCGTGACCGCGGAGTCATGCTGACGATCAAGCCTTGATCGCGAGTCATACCGACGATCGCGCCGTGACCGCGAGTCATGACGACGATCGCGCCGTGACCGCGAAGTCATGCCGACGATCGAGCCGTAATCGCGAGTCATGACGACGATTGCGCCATGACCGCGAAGTCATGCCGACGATCGAGCCGTGATCGCGAGTTATACCGACGATCATGCCGTGACCGCGAGTCATACCGACGATAACCCCGTGACCGCGGAGTCATACTGACGATAGCGCCGTGACCGCGGAGTCCTACCGACGATCGCGCCGTGACCGCGAGTCATGACGACGATCGCGTCGTGACCGCGAGCCATACCGACGATCGCGCCGTGACCGCGAGTCATGACGACGATCGCGCCGTGACCGCGAGTCATGACGACGATCGTGCCGTGACCGCGAGTCATGACGACGATCGCGCCGTGACCGCGGAGTCATGCTGACGATCGAGCCGTGATCGCGAGTCATACCGACGATCATGCCGTGACCGCGGGTCATATCGACGATAACCCCGTGACCGCGGAGTCATACCGACGATCGCGCCGTGACCGCGAGTCAAACCGACGATCGCGCCGTGATCGCGAGTCATGACGACGATCGCGCCGTGACCGTGAGTCATACAGACGATCACCCCGTGACCCGCGAGTTACAAGTTACTATAGGTTAAGGTACCTGTAAATTGTTACCCATTTTTTGGTTTTTATAGATCAGTGCCACAAATGGTAAAAATTGATTTCGTATGTCTTTTTTGGTAACTGCAATACAGTACTTTCTTTTTATGCACAGAAAAAAATCCCGTCCCGTCCCGTCCCGAAAATCGGAAAGGAAATAAAAATCCCGTCCCGTCCCGAGCTAAAAATTTAATCCAGTCCATCCCTATAAAAGTACATTAAAACATACCAGCTCCAGAGACATATAAAGCACTCTCCCTCTAGTACATATTAACATGCCAGCGTCAGACATATCAAGCACTCGCCCTCTAGTACATAAAAACACCAGCGTCAGACATCAAGCACTCGCCCTCTAGTACATAAAAACACTAGCGTCAGACATCAAGCACTCGCCCTCTAGTACATAAAAACACCAGCGTCAGACATCAAGCACTCGCCCTCTAGTACATAAAAACACTAGCGTCAGACATATCAAGCACTCGCCCTCTAGTACATAAAAACATACCACCGTCAGACATATTAAGCACTCGCCCTCTAGTGCATAAAAACATACCACCGTCAGACATATCAAGCACTCGCCCTCTAGTGCATAAAAACATACCACCGTCAGACATATCAAGCACTCGCCCTCTAGTACATAAAAAATACCACCGTCAGACATATCAAGCACTCGCCCTCTAGTACATAAAAACATACCACCGTCAGACATATCAAGCACTCGCCCTCTAGTGCATAAAAACATACCACCGTCAGACATATCAAGCACTCGCCCTCTAGTGCATAAAAAATACCACCGTCAGACATATCAAGCACTCGCCCTCTAGTGCATAAAAAATACCACCGTCAGACATATCAAGCACTCGCCCTCTAGTACATAAAAACATACCAGCGTCAGCCATATCAAACACTCGCCCTCTGGTAGGCCTACATAAAAAAAACCACTGGGAGTGAGACATATCACTCTACTTCTGGTACATAAAATAAACCACTGTCAGACATCAGGCCGTCGTCCTCTGGTACATAAAATAACCACTGTGACACATCAACTCGCCCTCTGGTATATAAAATAACCACGGTGAGACATCAGGCACTCGCCCTCTGGTACATAAAATGACCACTGCGAGTCATCAGGCACTCACCCTCTGGTACATAAAATAACCACTGTGAGACATCAACTCGCCCTCTGGTACATAAAATAACCACTGTGAGACATCAACTCGCCCTCTGGTACATAAAATAACCACTGTGAGACATCAGCAACTCGCCCTCTGGTACATAAAATAACCACTGTGAGACATCAACTCGCCCTCTGGTACATAAAATAGCCACTGTGAGATATCAACTTGCCCTCTGGTACATAAAATAACCACTGTGAGACATCAACTCGCCAACTGGTACATAAAATAACCACTGTGAGAAATCAACTCGCCAACTGGTACATAAAATAACCACTATGAGACATCAACTTGCCCTCTGGTACATAAAACAACTGTGAGACATTAGCAACTCGCCCTCTGGTACATAAAATAACCACTGTGAGACATCAATTTGCCCTCTGGTACATAAAATAACCACTGTGAGACATCAACTCGCCCTCTGGCACATAAAATAGCCACTGTGAGACATCAATTCGCCCTCTGGTACATAAAATAACCACTGTTAGACATCAACTTGCCCTCTGGTACATAAAACAACTGTGAGACATTAGCAACTCGCCCTCTGGTACATAAAATAACCACTGTGAGACATCAACTTGCCCTCTGGTACATAAAATAACCACTGTGAGACATCAACTCGCCCTCTGGCACATAAAATAACCACTGTGAGACATCAATTCGCCCTCTGGTACATAAAATAACCACTGTTAGACATCAACTCGCCCTCTGGTACATAAAATAACCACTGTGAGACATCAGGCACTCACCCTCTGGTACATAAAATAGCCACTGTGAGACATCAACTCGCCCTCTGGTACATAAAATAACCACTGTGAGACATCAACTCGCCCTCTGGTACATAAAATAACCACTGTGAGACATCAACTCGCCCTCTGGTACATAAAATAACCACTGTGAGAAATCAGGCACTCGCCCTCTGGTACATAAAATAACCACTGTGAGACATCAGGCACTCACCCTCTGGTACATAAAATAACCACTGTGAGACATTAGGCACTCGCCCTCTGGTACATAAAATAGCCACTGTGAGACATCAGCAACTCGCCCTCTGGTACATAAAATAACCAATCAGGCACTCACCCTCTGGTACATAAAATAGCCACTGTGAGACATCAGGCACTCGCCCTCTGGTACATAAAATCACCACTGTGAGACATCAGCAACTCGCCCTCTGGTACCACAGAAAACATACTACTATCTGGTACATAATAACCACTGTGAGACATCAACTCGCCCTCTGGTACATAAAATAGCCACTGTGAGACATCAGCAACTCGCCCTCTAGTACATAAAATAACCACTGTGAGACATCTGCAACTCGCCCTCTGGTACATAAAATAACCACTGTGAGACACACCAGCAACTCGCCCTCTGGTAAATAAAATAACCACTGTGAGACATCTGCAACTCGCCCTCTCGTACATAAAATAAACCATTTAGTGAGACAGCTACTGCGGAAGTTCGAAAGCAGGAAGCAAGAAGCAAGTTTTCCGAACTAAATATAGAGCAGAAAATCATTACACAATATTGGCGTTTTTGTTTCTTAATAACATCAATACCGCAGGAAATTCTTATAATGTGTTTTCTCATAATTATTCGCCCCGGTATCAGTCTCCTCGCTAAAAAAACAACGAAAATTAAATTATACTTTGTTGATGGTGGTCGTTCTACAGCTATAAATGGGCTCCAAACTACAGTACTCTGGGTCACAGCATCATGCATTGATAACAAATTGTCATTGGTGATTTTCGGGATTTGAACCTGCGACGCTCAGACTTGAGGCCTATGCTCTAACCGCCAGATCGGCCGTGCCTATCTAATGACATACTGTACATAGCGTGCTCAGACCAACCGGTAGCCAAATTTACATACAAGAATTCGACCTGTCGAGCTAGACACGATTCCTTGTATAAAATATTTATATTTCTAAATACTTATTTTTATCGGCACACCATTTTGTTTAGTTGGCAATTTACCATATTATTATATAGTTTATTGTCAATCAAAAGGGTAATTTTCTTTGAAAGCGAAAATAAAAAGAATGATTTTAGAAAATTGATTCGTTCGCACAATAGAGATGCTTGTACTGTACAAATAACTTGGTTTTGCAGTTGTAAAAATTAGGAATCTTGATTATTGATCGGGTAATTAAAACAAATGCCGCTTTACGCTGCAGTGAAATGACGGTGTAATATTTTCACTGGTAATTTCATTCGACTTCTGCGCCTGAGCGCACATAAACTTTTCCCGGGTCAATAACTTGTACATCCAGTATGCTATAAATAATTTCTTTATTCATTAAGAGAAACCGGGAAATGTTGGGGTAAAATTGTAATGAATATTATTAATTTGAAATATTTGTGAGTAATAATGAAATTTACAGAGCATAATTTGAAAAGTACGCTTTTTATCTTCACCGGCCTTGACATTTTAAGATGAAACATAATGGATTCCATTGGAAATGGATGCTGGGAGTGCGCTGGGAGGCACTCCTTTTTCCTAAAAATGTGAAGCTAATTTTGTTTTCTTTGTGACTGTCAAATTTATAACATTGAAAATATTAAGCTATAAGGGTTAGAGAAGGTGTCAGAAAAATCAAAATATGTCACTGAGTTTAAATTTAACAATATTTATGATTAATGTAGCATACATAATGCTTAAAATGGATAATAAATCATGATCTATTTTCTGTATCGCTAAGATCCCTTGGAATTGCCACCATTGTACTACTTTTATACATTTTGTGCTATGTTGCCGGATGTACACGTACGCATTAACAGTCAAAGAATCACTAGTATACTAAAATCGATTTCAATGATATTTTAAAACTGAAAGTACTATAAAAATTACTAGTATTACTTAAAATATATTTTAATTTACATATTTGAACTAAATTCACACCTTACATGCTAAAATACTAAGTATTTTTCTTATTTTTAAAAACCGGCAAACCTGAAATTTTTTATGTGATTTAGAAATCTGACAACAGCGCTTTCCCCTTCTCTTTTCTTGTTCGTTGGCTTCGCTTCCTCTGTTGCGTGCTGCCTCCATGTTGTTTCTGTTGAGTTAAATGTTCGCCTCAATTTTTTTACTTTATTATCGGTTAATAATCGACTTTTAAGACTGACTGACTGTGTAAAATGGCTAGCGACCAACAATTTTGCTTAAGGTGGAATAATCATCAAAGTACTTTAGTTTCTGTGTTCGATAATTTGTTAGAAAGTCAAACGCTAGTCGACTGTACCTTAGCCGCCGATGGACAATATTTGAAAGCACATAAAGTGGTGTTATCAGCATGCAGTCCATACTTAGAGGTAAGTTATTTCAATTTGGGAATAGATTTTACAGTTTTAATGTAGATTTTTGTCACCGTAAGGTGTAAATGTTAAACACACATTTTAGTCTTGGTAGGCCTAGGCCTAGGCCCTCTCCCTATCTTCTTGATTGGGGAAACACAAGAGAGTTTTTATAATTTTCTACTTCAGAATAAGTATTTTCATACAGTTCAGTGTTGATCTAAATTACGTACAATACTTAACTTAATAATTGTTGGAAAATTCATAGAATTTGTAAAATAGATCCTCTCTATGCTAGGCCTATCTAAGCCTAGCCTACAGACTTCAGGGTTCTCTCCAAGCCATTCCTAACCTTAAGCCTAGTAACCAAGTAAACTAAAAATTTTACCTAAAGCTGCGTTTTTTTAAATGTCCTACATTAAGTTAACTTAAGTTACTTAGGCTACATTTTACGCTGTGACTACTCATCCGTCAACTGCGCGCCAATACGCTGTCCGTCAACGCAAAACATGTATAACTTACCTAAGCTTATTTGATATTTTTAACTAACTTACTGACTGTTTAACCCTCCCAGTGTTACTTGACGAAAATTCGGCAAGCACCACACTTTGTATAGTGTTACTTGCCGATTTTTCGACAAGCAGACATCGTTTACGGCGAAGGCTCTATAACTGACTGAATCGGATTGAACTGGATCGAGTTAGGTATCGTTCTTTCCGTTACATTCTAAGCTGTCTCCAGATGTCTGTCTCTAAGCGCTATTCATTTTAGTTCTGAAAATATTGTAGCAGACAGCTGACGTGCGTGTATTTGTAAACAGCTAGGTTCCCCCGGACCGATGACTGATGTGTTTTATTACGTTTATCATTGTTTTAGTGTTAAAAATCAAAAGTAGTGATATACGTGGTGCATTATAAGAAGATTTAAGTGGTTTTGAAGTGCTGGTTGATGATCCTGAAGAAGTAGGTAGTGATATTGATGTAAATTATCAGCCAGATTCCTAGCTATGGTTAGGCTATGCATTCTTAGCTAAACGCTATGTACTGAAATCAGTTTTTTGCCCATAACTTATTTATTTGCAAATATACTTCCTTATATTATTATATATTTGTAATCCTCATAAAATTTAGAACAAAGTGGCTATTTTCAAATATTTATAGGCCTATAATTTATACAATTTCATTAGGCGCGAACTTATTTTTTTTTTGAAAATTTTCAAAATTATATTTTTTTTACCTAAAAATTTTTTTTTTGAAAAAATGTTCCTTATGTTTTATATATAATATTGAAGCCCATGATTTTCCAAACAAAATGGTATATAGAACATTAGAATTAACATTGTTTTAAGCTTCTCAGATCCGTTTTAATAAAACCTTGCAAATGCGCCAAAAATAGGTGGACATTAAGGCCTAAACTATGGACACTTGGAGGGATATGAATTACAAAATGAATCTGCTATAGGCCTACCTTAACCCTCCGAGTGTCCATAGTTTAGGCCTTAATGTCCACCTATTTTTGGCCCCTTTGCAAGGTTTTATTAAAACGGATCTGAGAAGCTTAAAACAATGTTAATTCTAATGTTCTATATACCATTTTGTTTGGAAAATCATGGGCTTCAATATTATATATAAAACATAAGGAACATTTTTTCAAAAAAAAAAAATTTTAGGTAAAAAAAAATATAATTTCGAAAATTTTCAAAAAAAAAATAAGTTCGCGCTCAATGAAATTGTATAAATTATAGGCCTATAAATATTTGAAAATAGCCACTTTGTTCTAAATTTAATGAGGATTACAAATATATAATCATAAAGCGAGGTAAGTTATCAAATAAATAAGTTATGAGCGAAAAACGGATTTCAGTACATAGCGTTTAGCTAAGAATGCATAGCCTAACCATAGCTAGGAATCTGGCTGATAATTTACATCAATATCACTACCTACTTCTTCAGGATCATCAACCAGCACTTCAAAACCACTTAAATCTTCTTATAATGCACCACGTATATCACTACTTTTGATTTTTAACACTAAAACAATGATAAATGTAATAAAACACATCAGTCATCGGTCCGGGGGAACCTAGCTGTTTACAAATACACGCACGTCAGCTGTCTGCTACAATATTTTCAGAACTAAAATGAATAGCGCTTAGAGACAGACATCTGGAGACAGCTTAGAATGTAACGGAAAGAACGATACCTAACTCGATCCAGTTCAATCCGATTCAGTCAGTCATAGAGCCTTCGCCGTAACTTAAACGATGTTTGTGCGTCTTAAAAGCGACGCGTGACCCTACACAAAGTGTGTTGTGCGTCGTTTTTATGACGCGTGACACTCGGAGGGTTAACCTATGTAACAAACTAAACTTGATGATAAGTTTTAGTGAAAAATTGAATAAAGATTTAGTCTAATTTACTGATTGAAAATAGGGGAGCATTCTAAGTTATTATAAAAACGAATAAAGGTTTAGCCTACTAATAAAAAAATAAGTCAAGTTAGGCTAGCCTAGTTCTGTTCATTAAATAAAATTATCAATGCCTCAAATTCTAACAAAAGATGTACAGTTCAGAAGTACGGTAATCGCATTGTAACTTATGCAAAATCTATGACAAAAAGTAATGTCGCTGGTGGGACTCGATCTGGTTACCTCTTGGACATCAGCCGAGTACCGGTACTCTATGCACTTTACCACGAACACCGATGTCTGCTCTTCGTATCCTTGCGGTAATGGTGCGTCATCAGGAGCATGGTTGACGGATGAGTAGCCACAGGGTAACTTAAATTTTATTACTTCTAACTTAAGGCACTAGGCCTAACTTGTGGATGAAACTTTGGTAGGCTAGAGTCCTAGGCCTATGTCTAACTTAGTTGGTTATTGGTAAACTTTGGCCTTGCTTAGCAAAATTAAAATGGGTAGGCCTATTGTTTGTAGCTTATCCCGTGGTTTTTGTTTTGAATCCACACGTCAAGTAGTAGAACGCAATGTACTATCTTAAAAACACTTTGAAACTATTCTTTGACATCTGTACTTACACTAAGTTACAGCTGTCTGTTGCTGTTTATTTTATTTTATTTATTTATTTTTTTTTTTAAGGAGAGGCTTCCTTTTATTACCTAACTAATTACCGGTACTAATAATATCAGCAATAATCTCAACTTGCTAGGGGACTGGTGGGAATTTGGGGTTTTGGGTGGGGGAGAAAGTATGGTGGTTTTAAGTAACTTAGTACCGTACCTATACCTATAACCTATTTAAGGTCCTTAATCATCAAGAAGGAAATGGAATTAATTTAGTCGCGGGAAAGGGTACCTAAGCTAAAGTATGATGGAGAAATGGGTTAAGGCGGGAGGAACGGGTGGTTTTCCCAGAACAAGGGAAAATTGGGCCTTGTTTGGACCCTAGTTTGGAAAAGGCCTAGCCTAAGTTTAGGGAAATTTTGTCACTAAGTTGTCAACCTAAACTTCCGGTGTTGTGGCACTACTGAGTTATAATGCCTGGTTTGGTGGAGCGGTTCTATTGGTCTGTGGTGACCTCTTTAGCGACGTCAACATTCGTGTAGGCCTGGAAGAGACCGAAAGCGCGAAGCCTTTGGAGAAATGACAGTTTAATCCTTTCAGTGCTATGCGGAGATTCATTGTTGGGCGTATTGTCCCTGAAAAGTTCTATTGAATTATATAGCCTATCGTTCGTGTTTCATCCGAAAAAAGATAAGCAACGATATATCAAACCCGGTTCGACTTTCGTTCGTTTGAGTTTAAATGGGCATAGGCTTATCGGTTGATTCAGTTGTTTTTTTTAAACAGCAATGGTTTCTTTTAACTCCTTATACGACTGAGGCCCGATATTGTTCCTTAGCACTTTCATTATAAGAAGATTTTTTTTACTGTTTTTTTTTTTTGTCTTCTCACATTAGTTCTAGACTTTGCCCCCGTGGCAAGCCTAGCACTGTTTGGACAAAATAAGTTAGTAAATAACTTAAAAGCATTTTTCGAAAGATTACTAAAGAATTCTAGCATCGAATGGGCCAATCAATAGGCAACTTACTTATAGATCTTATTTAGGCGTGTGTGGAGGCCAGGTCGGGGTTTATGCGGAATCGTGGTGGCACTACTTAAGTTTGTCGTTAGGCTATCAATTTGGTGTTTAGCTAAGTTATTGGAGTAGGCTAAGCCTAGCTACTTAAACGAGGTTGGATAAATTGTCTCTTTGTTTAACCAATTAGCCCCAGTCAATTTTCCAGTAGGGCCTACACACATCATTGTCTTGGAAATACCGGAACTTAACATACTTTGTACCTACAGTATTAAGTTTGGGTTTTGGAATTAAGTTAAATTAACTTGGCAGAGTGTCAGTGCCGTTCCCACCCCTCTACACCACTGGCTAAAAACAAGGCCAAACTTAGTTACATCTGCACCCACACCTCCTCTATAACTAAAAGGCCCTAACCAAGCTTATACTTTGTTTAGCCTATATTTGTGATGTGGAAAGTGAAAAGGGACCTCTTGTCGTTGATGCAAAATTTTCAGTACGGCCGATATAAGTAATTTTTGTATTTTTGTATTCAATGTATTTTGTACAATAGATGAATAAAGTAGTTTTGAATTGAATTGAATTGAATTAAGGTCGAAAATATCAAAATTCGGGTTTTTATCGATTGTTATAGGCCTACCTCATTTATCATAGAACAGGACAGTATCGGTTAAAATATCGAGTTGAAGACATAAAAGGTCGAAATAAATCATTTTGTTAGCCTCTGCACGCTCTGAAAAAAGGTACCTCTTGTCGCTCAATGTTATTTCGCCATAACGACAAGAGGTCCCATTTCTAATATTCACTTTATAAACAGATTTTAGTCCAGAAAATGAATTGTCCTGCATTCTAGAGGAAATTTAGAGAACTACAAAAAGTTAAGTGTAAGGAGAACAAAATATCTCACAAATTTTGCGGTCCCGACAAGAGGTACATTTTCTTATCTTATGGAGAAATAACATAGGGACGACAAGAGGTCCCTTTTCTGAAATGCAATTTTTTATGACACGCTTCTATAAAACAATTATTTAAATTAAAACCACCGAGAGTTAAGACAAAAATTGGTTTTTCCTCCAAAGAGGACATTAAGCTTTCTTTTAACCAAGATCTTAACTTCTTAAATACGAAAAAAACTGTTTTAATGTGTACTTGAAATGTTCAAAAGTGTTTATCTCAAATGACCCTTTTCAATTTAACAACATTTTTAAGTCCTATAACTTTTATAAGCTTTCTAAAACCAAAATCTCTTTTTAACATTTAAGAAGAGAAGGAAAGAGCAAGGAAGGCAAGAAGAGAGGAAGGCAAGGAAAGGAACACCAAATAACTAACCGTTTGCCGTTTGGCTCATTAATTATGCCGATCACATTAACTCAGGACTGTTAATATTTATTGTTTATGTTTTTTTTGGGAAAAATGTGAACAGATAATTTTCAAATCAGAGTTCAAATCATTGGTGTCGTTACTTCCAGTTGCTTGTCATATGGTGTAAAACAAGCTGTAGTTTTACTTCACCTTCAGTTCAATTCATTTAACTTGATAATGTTTTCTGTCCTACCTTGTTTATTTAAAAGGTTTTATATTTGAACGGCGATATCTTCAGTAGGTAGGCCCTAATATTCAATTATGGTTAAAAATAAAGGTAGCCTATATTTAGATTCAGAAGGTTAAAACCACAAAGTAACATGTATCAAAATTAAAAATTCGCTTAAAGGTACCTAGGCCTAGTAATTATTTATCATATTTTGTAGGCCTTATAAATGTTTTTCTTACGTGGTGGAGTTTCTGATTTCTACTGCTAACTTACTGTAAAAAGTGTGGGATAGAAGTGAAGACATGCGTTACTAACACGGATTAGTCATACTCTGCCATTTTCAACGGTTAAATCTAGAAACTGAACTATACTGAACAAAGCTTTCAAATTCCCGTTACTATTAGCCAAAATTGTGTGACTAAAGCAATTCGAATAGCAACAAGAAGCCCTAGGCCTAAGTTTTTTTCCAATAATAAGTTAGGTAACTTAACTTAAAAAACTCATCAAGAAAATTCAAAAGTTCTTACTTTATACTTTATACTAAGTTAACTTGAGTCATCTTTATTTATATTTTTATTTTTATAAGATTTACTTATTTTCTAAACCTACTCCCTCTTTACTCTTACATCCCTTTTATTCGATAAATATGTATTTAAGTAAGCCCATTGACTTAAAAATTGGGTTTGTGTTGTAGAAAAGGCATGTTAATAAATTGTTTTAAGTTACTGCCAACAAAAATGCTGAATTGAATTGCTTACAAAGATCTAATAAATCTAAAGATACATTGGTTCGTGTGATATTTAGCCTACATTGTAGTGTAATTTTTTGTAGGCCAATAGGGTTTCTCAGCAAATTGTGAGTTGTTCCTACTGCGAACCCTACTTCTCTTGGGGTTAAATGTAGGCCTATAGTTGATCTGGAATTATGAATAATGAAACAATAATTTTATTTCATTTTGACAAATGTTATTTTTAGCACTAAACAATTAAAATGTTTGTTACCGGTACACAAATATGAAAAACCTTTTCTGTTATGTTTCAGGCGATACTATGTCAAAACCTAGACAAACACCCAATCCTGATACTGAAGGATGTAAAGTTCTCCGAATTGAAGGCAATGCTCGACTACATGTACCGAGGAGAAGTAAATATCTCCCAGGAGCAACTTTCCACGTTCCTGAAAGCTGCAGAGTCACTTCAGATAAAAGGACTAACGGATAGCGGGGGAGGGGGAACCACCGATAGAGAAAGAGACCCGCTCAAACGACAAGACATCCGAAAACCCCTGAATCAACCAGTGCCTCATATACCTCAACCTCGTCCCGTAGTGCCTCATCCTGGAATGATGGAACGTCGATCGCTGCCACACTTCCCACCTCACATCGCTGACATGCAGCCGCAGAGCCCTCGACACGCGAGAGAAGGCAGTACTTCTCCCACCGCCCGCAAACGCCGCCGACCCAACAGGCCTAGTAGTGACGACTCCAACTTCGTTTCGACTCCCAACTCCCTCTCAGAAAACCAACCAGATACGAGCGACTCGTGCGACGTTCCAGTCAAGCAAGCTGCCTCTTTGACCCCCAACGTTCCTAACGCCACTACCAAAGCCCCCGAGACTGACTCAAACAGGACCACGCCCCAGCCACAAAACAACCAAGTCAACTCAGAACAAAAACAACAGGTCTCTGTCAAGAAGGAATTCTCTGAAGCGCTGTTAACTCCTAAGACTGAATTTGATTACGGAAATGACAACAGCATGGAAGATGTGACCTATGAAGACGATGAAGAAGAAGAAGTGGACCTGAGCAAGCCTGGGACTTCGTTTGCAGCTAACAGTCAAGGTAAAAATAGTTGTAATTGTGTACGGTAATTTAAATTTTATTTAGAATGCATACGAAGAAAAAGAAAAAAATATATATAGCCTAAATAAAACATTAAACAAAAGATACAACAGAGGAAAATAGGTTTTTGTATGATTTTTTAAGTTAGCAATGTGGCATCCTAGCTGTTTTACTCTGAAAAATAAAAAAAACAATCAATCTCTTTAGGTATAACTTACTAAAATTATATTTAAAAACCTTGGTCTTGGTTTTAAAATGCATAAATTTGATGTTTGAGATGGTTCTTTAAGATGATAAATCAGATAAACACTATTGTGTAATCATGCTTTATTTGTCAAGATTAATTAATTGCATTCTGTAATCATATAACTGCCCATTTAGATTACAGTTATAATATGGAAGATAAAAGTACTCTTATCTCTAACCAAGATGCCATGAATGTTTATTGCCTCTGATTTCCTAACTGGCTGCTAACTATCTGTGTGGCTAATCAAATTCTAAACTTTGAATTGATGGGAAGAAAAGCTAGGCATACATGAAATGATTTTTGTTTACTAACAAACTGATGCAGTTAAAAATATTCTTTTTCCTACGCCAATGGCATTTTGATTCAGGTCAATAAGAGATTGTTTAAACCCTTTAAAGCTTCATGAATATGCCGGGAATTGAACCCGTCCCTCCCGCACCCTAGGCTGAGATGCTAACCAATAGACTAGCAACACAACCAAGCATAGCAGCAACCTCATTTTTAAATTACAGATCTGGTATCATACTCAAGTGCAGTTGTTAAATTTAGCAGATGCTACGACTAGTTTTTTTCTTCAATTTTCTAATAAATTATCTTTTTCTAATACACAATTGGTACTAATACCTTATCAGTTTTGTTAAAAAATAAAAATTACTAATGGGATTTACTGGTCTTTGAAGTAATCTAAACGGAACCCCCTCCCTAAAATTTATTTTAATTTCTTATTCACAGATTTTGAAAAATTAATGTAAATTTGTTTTTTTCTGAGTTAGGGAGGAATAATGGAAAATTAATAGTTTGGTTACATAAATTGCACATTTTTCTTAAAACAAAAATATATTTTCTCAGTGCATTTATGCACTGATACTTACTAAGTTGGTCATCTATTCCTTATGGTTTCTGAAATTCGTAAGAGATGAGATGAATGAAAAATACCACTAAGGAGTCACAGATATATATTATATTCAAGGAAACCATAATATATTATGCAGGAGAATTCGAGGTGGTACAACATCTTCAGTAAAAAACTGAAATGTCAAAATAAAACTTACATGTTAATGAGTAAGTATGGTTATAGAAAATGTTCTATTTTTGCAGGATTTCCACCATGGCAAATGGGCGGCGATGGATCAAATGATGACAGTAACAACATGTACTCCCCTGATGTAACTGCGACAACTAATCAGAACAACTCCCAAGGTAGGCCGAACTTTCCGTTCGCAAAAACGGTAAACATACAGGCCCGGCAAGCACCCCAAAACCTTCCCAGCTTTGGCATTTAATATGATAAAATGTTTCAATAAAAAATAAAAAATAAAACTTAGTCCAATGTTACATTTAGATTTTGAGTTAAATATAATATTAATTAAACTTTAGAAAAAAACTTAAAAAAAACTAGTAGAAAACCCTGAATATCCTCTTCAAAAATAGGAAAATTGGAAAGATAAAAAAAACATTAATTGATCTTTGTAAAGAGAATTTTAAGATATATCTACTTCCAAAGTTTGTTCACTTAGTTACCTTTATTTATTCTTTTTTATAGGTATTCTTATTCTCTACAAAAAATTATCTTACAGTACCTCTATATTTCAATATGAAACTCAAACAGTTAAGATACCGGTAATAAAGTTCAAATTGATTTAATTTAAGTTAAAATTTTTGAGTTTGTAATTTTTTGTTCCGAACATTTTGTTAAAAACAGTTTTTCCAACCCTTCCCTGGCCCCAGCTTGTCGGAGCCTCAAACCCCCATTACCTTTTAACACTTCCGGAGGACATGTATATAATTTTTTTCACTTTACAGCTTAATTTTTGAGTCAATTTTAAAAAAGTAAACAAAATAATAACCAAATATAAATACTTACTTGGATTCAGCAACTGCACTTTTTTGCGAACTAAGTAATACTGTACTTGGCCGAGTGAATAAAAGGGTTTAATTTGTCAAAGATTCAGTATTCATTTTTATTAGTAGGGTAAATTGTAAATATATAACTCAAAGCATTAGGGGGTAAAAGAAAAAGGCTTTTTATAGTACTTTTTTTGTGTAACTTATGTTGGTACCATAACTGAGGCAGTCATGCGTGAAATAAATTATTGTTTAGGCCTCGGCACACAAATTTTTCCTTTGGTATTCTTTCAAATTTGTAAACAAAGGACAAATTTTAATACATGTCATGCATTCAAATTTCACTTTGATCTATCTTATCTACATTTAGAGCTTTAATTTCGACATGTATTAGCCACCAAAATTTATTTTTGAAAATATTTAATATGTATGCTGCCCTTTTATAGACCAGATTACAATTTCTTCTAACAATTTGAATAGTCTAGTTGTGTAACCTAATTGAATGGGAATTTTATAAAAAAATATCCTTAACCTTTAAATATTCTTACGATTTCAACAGTTCAACGGCCTTTTATAAGCTTGGCCTCGTCAAGTGTTGCTTAAGTCTTGTCAATTTTACATTGGTGTAGCATGCTTGTTAACCTCGCTAATACCACAATCACCAGTTCAGTTAGTTCAGTGCCTCTGGAAGTGCTAGTGTAGTCGTAGGATACGCGAGGTGTCTCTTCAGGAGCGTTGGTCGCGGAAGAGACGCCTCTTGGCATGTTGGGTGTGTTGTAACTATCGTAACGTATTGCATGGCTGTGTTGGTAGCTAGACTTGTGATGCTGTCCTTTGTCTCTATCTCTGTCTCTAAACTGCTTTGTCGTCGAGCGACGTTACTCCGACGTAAGGTAAGTCCCGATGCGTAATTCGCCCTCTTGTTCATTCTGTACTACTCAGTAACAGGGTTTTGAGCCTTAGCCCAATACAGCGCTTCGAACAAGACATGCCGAAGAAGAAGGGAGAAGACACAGGAAAGAAGATGGATTTCGTCGTGAGTATTTAGGTTAGTTTAGTTTTAGTGCGCGCGTACATTTGTTGTATGCTGTTGAAGATAACTCGTTTTGAGACAAGATTTTAATTAATCATGTTAATGGAGATTTTATTAAATCAAGCGCAAGCGTAAAACTTGATTTAAATTGTTTTTCCATCTTAATGAAAAATTACTGCGTAAAGTTAATGCTTCAATTTGAATGTCATAACAGTTTGCTCATAAACTATGAAATCATTTATAATTATCCTATTTTGTTTGAAAAAAATCTTGTTCTTGAAGCAAGTATATAATATAGACAGCATAACAACAGCGCTCTGCTTTTCTTGAGTTGATGTTGGCTTGTTATGCCTTTCGTCCATTGGAGTGAAGATTATGAGAGGAAAAAGCTTCATCAGTGGAGGGTTTATTAGGTGAGCTCAGTACTTAATAAGTTTTTTTGATATTTCAAATTTCAAAAAAAAATTCTTATGTTTTAGTAAACTTTTTTTTATTTTTAAAAAGTAAATTCTTTTTATATTGAAAGTTAAAAAGACACCTAGTAAAAATTAAATGAAGTATGTCGTTAGATTGGTGTCCATACAATATGCCATTAAATATACACGTCATATTACCTTGAATATTTAACTATGTTTTTTTTTTTAACAATGGCATTTTTTAAATGGCCAATCAATTAATAATTGGTCTATGGTGGTAAGAATTAAAAAAAATTAAGTTGTGGTAAGCAACTTTGCCTTCTTAGACTTTGAGAATTCTACACGAGGACTGGAAAGGAATCAACTTCTCAAAGGTGGGTTTCATTTTATAACACTTATTAAATGATATCTCAACAAAGCTTAACTTTTTAATAAGACATTACTTTTGTAAGCCACAAAGTTGTAGTATGTTTTTTTATAGGACTATCAGTCTTTTCTTACCAGTACAGGAAGATAATTAAGGCTAGGCCTAACCATTGGGCCTGCCTAGTTTCTTCTTTAGATATTATTTATATTGTAGTAAAAATAATACATTTAATAACTTTGCAATTCAATACATTTTCAGTTCAATCTTTATTATGTGGCTTTTCAATGATAGTTTGATATTGATTTTAAAGGCATTGTACAGCCTTTTTTATTCTTGTAAAGTTTTGAACAATGTAAATGGACAAAGTTAAGACAATTTACAAAAAGATTTAAAGATTTACAATAAATGGTAATCTCAATCTATATTAAATGAATAGGTAAATCGGTTATCTCTAGCTTTATCAATAGGGTATGTTAGCTACAAATAAAAAAAAAAAAAAATTTGATCTGAATTAGATTTTTGTAATAGGTAGTTCTCAAATTAGTGTAATTACATTTTTTTATCAGTTTATGAAATAATACGTTTTAAATAACAAATGATTCCAAGATATGTTTGTTTTAAAGCGAATCTCAAATTTCTGGAAAGAAATGTGTGTTCGTAGAAATTGAATTAAAAATGTATACATATTTTACACTTTTTCAAAACAGAAAAAAATTCTCCTTGTTCACCACTCGAAAAAGTCTTTAAAAAATTAGTATTTCTCAATAACATAACTTCCAAACATGTTTCTTATGACCTGTGTTTTTTTTGTAGCCTATATTATAACATTCAATATAAAACCGTCAAAGTTATAAAAGTTGTTAAAGTTGGTTTCATGAAAATTTTAACACTCAGTTTTCCTGAGACCAAGTGAAGACGAGTCGGTCAGTCATTTGTGGGTGTGAGGTGGGGTTCTGTGCCTCGGCTGGGGTGAGGTGGACTACCAACATCTACCGCTTGTATGAGACAAAAAAAAATGGATAACGGGAGAAGTTGGTACTCTAAACAATCGTCCCTTCTTTGGTGTGGGGCCTTGCTGACCACCTTGTGCTGACGTCCTTCTAGTCCATCTTGGTCTAGGGGGAATTATAGTGAAATAATAACAAACAAGTATATTTTACATTTAAACATGATTTAAAACAACTGATCGTTAAATACTTTATTTAATAAAGCAAGACGCATGAAAACCCAATTGATTCCGACTACAAACGCAAAAAGGATTCATTTTACAATTTAAAGTTGTAGGTTTGAAAAAATAAGTAAAATAAAATCAAGTATTTCGGGAGTAAATTCTGATTGCGTCTTCTGAAAGTTTCAAGTTAATTTTTATGACCCCAAGGGTCTTTTTCCTTGCCATAACGTGATGGCGAGAATCTTTCATCACATCATGCACCTTCATCTTTATCACCACTTCTATTTCATCTCATTCACTCACTTCTTCAAACCTTGGTTCCTTTCTTTGATCATGTTTCATATTCATTCCTTCATATACCAATCAGATACCACTCCCCTCCTTACATACCATCCCACAGCTTCTCTTTCAGTGGATTCCAATCCAAGGGCTCAACGCAGGGGAGAGGAAGAGAAGACCATGGAATCAAACTATGAAGGTGAGTTTAGAAATCGTTAAGCTGTTTTTAAAATGGGTCCAATTTGTACGTAATTGGGGATTATAAATTAAATTCAATAGACCCTACTACCCAATAACCATTAATGTCTTAATTTTAACGTAACAAAATGTATAACAATACAAATATATAATAATATTTAAAGGTTGGCAGCATCCTATTAAAAAAAAAAAAAAAAAATTAAATCCTTGAACTTTAAGTTATAATTACATTTGGTATGCTTCAATGACTGATGTACCTTGGTAACATTAAAGTTCCTTGATAGCGGACTGAGAATAAGTGATGTTTTATGGTCAGGTGTTAAGAAAGTGCCAAGTATCCATTTTTTAATTTGCAAATCAATAAAGTATGCTTGGGAAAAATGTGTGTTGCTATATATATATATTTTTTTTTTTAAGTTAAATGCCCTTGAAGTGTTTGGGTGTCTATTGGGCTCCCAAGTCATTAATTTTAATTTTAAGATTTTCCAAGCTATATGTATAAACAAGGTAATAATCAACTTTATCCAACTATAGCGGTTAATATCTAACCTAATTATAACCATTAATTTTCTTTCTGGACACAAATTACTGGGGGAAAGTAACATACTTTATTGTATGAATTATGTTTTTTTTATCAAATTTTACAGTGCATCTGCACACTCAAGTAATTTACATATAATGACCAACTCATCTGAAACTCAATTAATTTCTCTCACTAAAATAGGTTACAAAGACTATTCACACATTACAGAGAATACGTTGTTACAAAAATTGCTGGAAAGTGACAAATTTGAACTAAGAGAACTAGTCAATATATTAAAATTCCTATGGTAATAACTATAGAATGAATGAGTTACAAAACAATGAATAAAATTTTCCCTTCTCGGACTA